CTGTCTCCATAAAACAAAACTGGACTAATGAGGCACAGCAGTCCAGGGACAAGGACTAGAAGGCAGGAGGGGACAGGAAAGCTGGTGATAGGGAACCCAAAGTTGAGAAGGGACAGTGTTGACATGTCATGGGGTTGTTAACCAATGTCATAAAATAATGTGTAGTGTTTAATGAGAAACTATTTGTTCTGTAAACCTTCATCTAAACTACAATTTAAAAAAAAAAATTTTTTTTAAAAAGGGGGGCTGTCTTCCCCCTTTTTTTAAATTAGTCATAGCCCTGGAGGTGTTGGACTTAACTGATCTTTTCAACAGGCATTTCAGCTCCACCCTGCCCTGGCTGACAGTAGCTCTTTACTTTTCTAGGTTTGCTGTGGAATTTGTCCTCTAATGATAGACTCAAGAATCTCATGATAACAGAAGCCTTACTTATCCTGACTGAGAATATCATCATCCCCTTTTCGGGGTGGCCGGAAGGAGACTACCCCAAAGCAAATGGCTTGCTCGATTTTGATATATTCTACAATGTCACAGGATGCCTAAGGTAACACCATTACACAGTTCTCCTTCTCCTTTTGCCTATACTTAAATACTGTATCCAAGTCTGTCTAATACTTTACACCGTTACCTGGTGCTGTAGGAATTATAAAGATCATTCTAAATACAGGAAACACAACGTAGTGAGAGAGAAAGGTCAAGTATCAGCAGCGTATTAGTTTCCAGCCATATCTGCTTCCAGAAGCTACCCATAAATAGAGGATGTCAGTTCCAATAGAGGAACCAGAGAGCTGGTCTGAACCACTGTAAGAGTCCCTCAAGACTGGCCTTCTCAATCTTGCAGGGTTTATGGCAGGCTCCATGCTATTTTTTTAATTCATAAAATTCTAATGTCATGGTTAAAAAAAAATTTTGAACCTAGTGTTTTTAAACAGCTGTAAGGCAAAAGGGAGTCCTAGATGACACAGACAGTTAAGTGCTTGACTACTAACGAAAGGTTGGAGGTTCAAACCCACCTAGAGGCACCTCAGAAGAAAGGCCTGGTGATCTGCTTCCAAAAGGTCACAGCCTTGAAAACCCTATGGAGTACAGTTCTGCTCTGCAATACTTAAGGCTGCCATGAGTCAGAATCGACCCACAGGCAACTGGTAATAAGGCAAAGAGTCTAAAAAGACAGAATGTCTTGCCATAAGCACAACTACAAAAGAAGTTAGTTTGGTCAGCATTTTGAAACATCAGGATGAGAAAAATACTTTGAATGTTTTCTCGCCTGGGGTTGATCTGTGCTCTGATGCCAGCTAAATCAAGAAGGTAGAAACACATGCAGAAGGAAGAAAAACAGTAGCCTTTAATTCTCTAGGATAATGTGTCTCAAGCTATATTATTTGGAAAATAATCATTATCCTTTATGCCCAAAGCTTAAAAGAAATCAGATAGGAGACATAATCAAATTGACAGCCCAAAAGGAGTCGGGATATATTCTGCCTTTCAGTACTTTTTCTAGTTACACACTTCATTTTTTGAGGGAATCTGTGTTGAAGTGGCAACTGAGGGGATTTAATACAGTAAGATGTTAAACTTAACTCCACAGTTGAATACACAATAATGGACATCAAATACTGACTTTGTGCAAAGCATTATGTTAGTAACTGAGAGTTTTAGAAAGATGAATAAGACAATTCTTAAGGACCTTATAATCTAAAAGGGTTGAAGATGTGCACATTAACTAGAATATGGCCCAGATGAAATGTGTTAGAGCAGTGGCTCTCAAAGCGTGGCCCCTGAACCAGTAGCATCATCAGCATCACCTGGAACTTGGTAGACTTATCAGGGTCCACCCTAGATCACTGAATCAGAAACTCTGAGGCTGGGGCCCAGCAGTGGAGTTTTAACAAGCCCTCCGGGTGATTCTGATGCATGCTGAAGTTTGAGAACCACCATGTCAGGTACAAGTAAAGAGTTGCAGGAGTTCCAGAGGACCATTCATTCCAGCCAAGTGGGATCAAAAAGACACTGTAGAAGTGTCCGAGCTGGGCCTTGGTGGACTATCTTAATAGTCGGATTCTCTAAGGATGAGGAACCAAATTTTCAAAAGAGGTACCTAAATGGCCTCCCTCCAGTCCATCTTCTGCACCGTCCACGAGCACTGTCTTTCTAATGCACTTGCTCAAAAACACTTCATATCTTAAAATGTCTTTGTGGCCCCCATTGCTTAATCATGTAAAATAGAGTTCTTAACATGGCAGGTGTATCAGTCAGGAACGTTTTAATTGAAAATGGCAGAAATCCAATTCAAATTCACTTATGCCAAGTAAGGATTCATTGGCTCATGTGGCTGAGAAGATGCCGGTGGTCACATGCAGAAGTAAAGAACCTGTACCAGGAACCATGGCCTCAAAGACTAGAACATAAATTCAGCATCCCTGGAACTATTTTTGTATTTATATCTCATTTCCACTTTCTGTTCTTCATTTTGCATGTTGGGCTCATTCTCTACACTCTCCACTTAGCAGGTAACTTAATCATAGGCAACCTTGCTTAGCCACACAACAGAAAGAATGCACTTCTTTCTCCAGATGACTGTGTCAACCTCAGGGAAGGTTTCTCCTTGGCCCTGCTTTAGAAGGGTGCCCATCACTTGAGCCACTGTTGCCTAGACTGGCCAGGCCTGGATCAGATGCCTCCTCCATGGCAAGGATGGAAAGGTCTGTTAACAGAAAAACAGGGACTGGAATACTTGTTTGGCAGGCAAAACAAAAACAGTAGACACCTTGTTCCATTACAACATATCCAACCTTTCCCAGTCTGTCTGCAACCTTACTTACAACCTTATTTTCAGTTTTCTCACAAACATGCTTCATACCCACCAACATACTTGCTTTTTCTTAAATGTCCTAGGTACTTTCATGTCGTCAAGCCTTCATTCAATTTTATTTGCCTGGTAGAACATTTTCTATTATCTGCCTATTGAATACTTAATCTCCTAATCATTTTATACGAAAGATAAATTTCACCCTTTCTGTGAAACTTTTCTAGCCTCCCCAGGCAAAACTCATTGCTTGTTCCTATTGGTTCTAACAGGGCTTTATAGGTGAATTACCTCTTTTATTGCTTTTATCACATTACTGTTTTATGGCTAGTTGTTTACATATCTTTTAGTTCTACTAGATCGTGAACTTCTTAAAAACTAAGCGTATCCCTATTATTATCTTTAATCCCTAACACCCAGTGAAATTTCTGGCACTTTGTAAGCATGCGTAAATGGATAAAATACAATAAATGAATGAAGGAAAGAAGCATAAATGACTGTATAAATGAGCAAATGGAAATACTTGGTGAACTAGGTGAATAATCGATTCTGGCAAGAGTATAAGGTTTATGGAGGAAAATAATCAAACAGAAGCTGGAAACATAGGCTAAGACCAGATTGCAGAGGCCTTGGAGGTCTTGTTAAGGAGTTGTTTTTTTGTTTGTTTGTTTTTTCTGTAAGCAAGGTTAGCTAGTGTGGGAAAGATAAAAATATGTTAAGTTCTGTGTGAAAAAGAATAATTCCAGTAACAACAGAAAAAGTATATTGAAAAGATGAAAATCTAAAAGCAAAGACGTTTGTTTTTTGATTGCCTTCCAACCTGAGGGGCTCATCTTTTGGCACTATATCAGACAATGTTCTGCTGCCATTCATAAAGTTTTCACTGGCTAATTCTTTGCAGAAGTAGACTGCCAGGTCCTTCTTCCTAGCCTGTCTTAGTCTGGAAGCTCAGCTGAAACCTGTCCCCCATGGGTGACCCTGCTGGTATTTGAATACCAGTGGCATAGCTTCCAGCATTACGGCAACACACAAGCCTCCACAGTATGACAAATTAACAGACACGTGGGGTCTGTCAGAATAGAGAATTGGAAAAATGCTTGCCCCAAGAGCAATGAGATTCGAAGTTTTGGGAAACATCTCAGGCTAGCCATAAACATGTCTAGGCACTCCCGTTAGCAGCCTTACTCTTCGATTGAAGAAATTAAGTGCCAGTGACTCTTTTGCAGTTTTAGAACTAGTTATCAGAAATTTGAGAATGGAAACTAGTCCAGCCTTCTTGGGATTTTACGTCTTGGTCTAATTTTGCTTTTATCCATCGTTTTCATTACTTATTGAATGCCTGCTATATTTAAAGCACTGTTTAAATTTCTGAAGTTTCTAAGAGGAATGGGATATATTTTTGCCCTCGAGGAACTTAGGGTTTAGTGGAGGAGATAGACACCTGAGTAGACAATGACAGTACATTCAATAAGAACCATAATAGAGGTATGAATCAACTGTCAGAGAGGCACTGAATTACTCAACTGACTATGCCCCTCCAAGGGTTCTGGGAAAACTTCTGGAAAAATATCACTTGAGAAGTTTTTAAAGGATTAGTAGGTATTTGAATCTCAGTCTTCAGCTCATTGTTCTATCACTAGTTCATCTTTTTAACTCTATAATATTTAATTGTGTTTTCAGTGAAGGTTTACACAGTAGTTTAGGTTCCCATTCAATCATTTCTTTACAAATTATTCGGTGACGTTAGTTACATTCTTCACAATGCATGAACATTCTCATTATTTCCGTTCTGGTTGTTCCATTTCCATTAATCTAGTTTCCCTGCCCTCTTACATTCTTATCTATGTTTTAAAGTAATTGTTGACCGTTTGGCCTCATATAGGTGATTTTTTTAAAGGAGCAAATAGTTGAGAAGTTTTTACAGGTGATATTCATTATTGTGTGAGTCAATCTGTTATTTAGCTATAAGGTGACCCTCAGGGCTTAGTTTCAGTTCAAGGTTTGAAGAGTATCTCAGGGCAATAGTCTCAGGGAGTCTTCCAGTGTCAACCAGTCCAGTAAGTCTGTTTTTTTGTTTGTTTGCTTTCTTTTAGGAATTTGAGGTTCTGTTCCACATTTTCTCCCATTCTATCAGGGTCTGTCTACTGTGGCCCTGAATAGAACAGTCGGTAGTGGTAGCCAGGCACCATCTAGTTCTTCTGGTCTCAGGGTAGATGAAGCTGTGATTTATGTAGACTGTTTGTCCTGTAGACTAGTTTCTTCTTTGAGTCTTTGGTTTCCTTCTTTCTCAGTTGCTCTGGATGAGTAGAGACCAATAATTGTATCTTAGATGGCTGCTAGCAAAGTAAGACCCCAGACACTACTCGCCAAACTAGGATGTAGAACATAACTTTATAAACTACATTATGCCAGTTGACCAAGATGTTCCACAAGACTATGGTCCTAATCCTTCAAACCCAGAAAACCAATCCTTGAGGTGTTTGGTTATGTCTAAGAAGTATCCAGAACTGTGCCCCCTATGCACTTTAATGTATAAACATATGTGCATACAGTCACATAGATGCATATATGTATATATCTATGATTATATTTTAAATACAATCATATTGACAATATGAATTCATAAAGCCCTGAAGAGTCATTTCCTGCATTCCTATAGTTTGTTAACCATTTACTTCTGAGAAACGCTTATAAAAGCTACCTTAATCTTACCACCACAGTCTAACAACTGTTTCTGC